CGGGCGGGAGCGCCACCGCACTTCCCAAGCGGCGCACTATCCAGTGCGCCACCGGGCCGGCCCCCATATTTGTTTCATTTTTAAAAAACCCAATACACCAAAACAATCTTAGAAAACATGAATTGGATGTAATTTGTAATATCAATAGATTATGCCCTTCCTAAAGTGACTGGTCACAGGCTTCTTTTAAACACTGAGGCGCCCTTGTGTTTGTAATATATAATCTGATATAGAAAAATCAATATTTACGTAAGTCTTTTCACAAACATGCCTCATGTAAGAAACAAACTGCTCCTGGATTTAAAATAGGATGGCTAACAGGATTTAGGGGTTCTGAGTTTACTCTTGCTTCCATACTCTCTAAACCTTGAAAATAAAGTTTCCTTCCCTACCAAATTCTTCCTTTCTCCATCTGGCAAGCACTGACTTGTCCCTGTGTGTCCAATGAGGCTGAACTAACATGGCTTTTGAATTCTCACTTCCTTGTGTGTACATCAAGGACGTCAGCAAAGTACTGGGAACAGGACAGTGTGGGTCAGTTTGCTGCTCCTGCCAGGCTGCAGGGGTGAGCTCTGGGATGGTTTCCCATAATAGAGAGCATTACCCCCCCCAAAAAGTGGTTTTTGCTGGTTTGCAAGTTGACATTTGCTTATTGTACTTGACGCTTGTTTGTTACAATCTAGGCACCCCAGTTCATAACAACATTCCTCAGCACCATATAAAGCACCATATAAAACAGGAGCAGAACAAGTCAGGTCTGAGGGCCTTGATAGTTTATACCTTTAAACCTGAGACAAGAAGGGAGGCAAGGTAGCTCCATCTTTCCACTGCTTTCTGTTTCAGCCCCTTGAATGAAGTGCTGTCATGGCTCACATTCATTAGCCCTGGAGACGTCCCACCAGAACAGCCCTTCACCTTCCTGCCCATGGCAGTAGTCAGATCCCCACCAACTGAAGCTGGCCCTACCTTAGAAATGGGACAGGAATTGCTAATCTAGAAAGCTGGACTCTTCCCCCTCACAGGCTAAATGACAGACTTATCCAAAATTTGGAGTTAGGAAGTTTCTGTTCCATTTAACAGACAAAATTAGCTTCTTTTTAAAAATTATGACCAATTGTGGTCTAAAGATTTAAAATGAGTTACAGAGCTGATATTACCCCCACAACCAACCTTAATGAGACCCCTCAAGAAAAGTTACCTATATAAGTTAACCAAAACTTATTATACTTGGGGAAGTCAACTGCCTACAGTACCTAGGGTGAACTTCATAAGAGCTTGTTTTGGATCCAAGATATAATGAGACTCTTCTTTCACATCAACAATCGTGGCAAATTCCTTCACCCGAGTGGAGCTTGGTGCACCCAGTCTCTCTGCATATAACCAAAACAAATTTGAATCCAAAAGGTAGATATTCAGGGTCTTGTTGGTTCTGCAGCTCAGGCCTGTGAAGTCTGTGCTAGTCATGTCCACTTCAGCAAAGAGATACCTGTTCTCCTCAACATGAGGAATGGAGCTTGGCATATCAACCTCACACTTCTCCTCGAGGGAAGGAAATGTGATGGTCGGGCTTTCAAAGACATCTTGTTCGAAGCCCGCTGCGCCCCTGTTTATGGTCCTGCAACATGCAGTGTAGTAGCTGAAAGGGCTGTAGGAAGTTAAAAAATTGCTGCACTGTATCCTGTCTGACGCCACATGATAAAAGGTCTGCTCCTTGAGGTAGAAAGAATCCAGAGCTGCTGCCATCTCAAAAAAGCTGCACTGTGGCACACTGACCGAGCTGGGCTTGATGCCCCCAGTGGTCTGGTTGACGCATAGTTCACAGATGTTGTGGGTCCTGGAGAGGGAGTGCCACTGGGGCAGCACCACAGTATTGCAGCAGGAGGATGCCATGATCAGTGGCGACTCCGGTGCCAGGGACTCAAACACCGGTGCATCTACCCGTCGCAGGTGCTGAAGGAGGCGCTCCACTACCTGGTCCCCGTGACAGTTGTTGTATTCCAAGGCTACTTCGGTGATCTGAAATACAGAGCAGAGTCAGTGAGAGGCACAGGGGTGACCAAGGGTGAAACCCTGAAATCGTTCAGGCTAGAAAGCACCCTGCTCTAAGTCATGGGCAGGAGACCAGGCCAGAAGGACTCCTGCTCATACAGAATCCTGGATTACTTTTTAGAACATGTCATTCTGTTAACAAACACTGAACCAATTTTTTAGAGACAAAAGGAGTCTTAGAGATGTCTCAGCCCCCATATGAGAAGAATGGAGCCTGGAGAAGTGAAGCGGCTCACCCCAGGACACAAATCCAGGTTATCAAGGCACCGTGAATAGAATTTAAATCTCTCCCAGTTGAGTGTATTTTTCTTTACACCTTTAAAACTCTTCCACACTGTCTTCTTTCTTCATCTTAATAAGTCTAAAAAATTCCCAAACATCTAATGAGTGGATCAAAATATTTCATAACATATGCATTTCCAAATAAAGTCATGCCTCACAGAGGCTACCAATTCAACCTGTTCCAAGCCATCCCCCATCATCTTACCTTCCCCACACCCTCTTCTTCCTCCTCACTACCCACCCCAGGAAAATAGAATCATCAAGCTGGAAATTCAGTCGATCCTTAGCGTCTTCTCTGCATCATCACATGCCTCAAATCAGCCAGCTGTGACTTCCGCATAGCTAAGCAAGCCCTTCTGCCCATTCCCACTACCACGGCCTCAATTCCCATCCTCAACTGTCATGGACCACCATCATTTTCTCTCCCTACCTTAACTGAACCTCCCACTGCTACCACTTATTTTTAAAATTACAATCCTAAGCATGACACTCCTTGGCCAAATGATATTTGGTGGCTCCCTACTACCTGCAGGACAAAACCTACATACAATCTGGCCATGGTCTACCTTTGCAGTCTCACCCCCACCCTCTTCAGACCAGACCAGGCCCTCACATGTCACCTTCACAGCGGCTAGCCCAGGACATTGGCTCCTCCATCTGTTTCCAAGATGCAGCACTAGGGGGGCTGCTTGGTAAAACTCACCACACCCCCACCCTGAGAAAAGCTAGCTTCTGCACCTCCAGTGTTCCTGAAGCCCCTCCCACAATCTTACAAGTTTCTGTTGAGACATGCTTCTCCCCCACAAGCTTGTGGATCTTCATGAGCAGAGACCACACTGGATTTATCCTGCCATTCCTGGAGCCTAGCATAGGGCCAGGCACCTGACAAACACCTGATGAATGAATGGCATATCTCAGGTAACATACACACTCACTCCCCTCTCTTGATGAGATTACCCTCTTTTCCTCAGATCAGTATGCGCAATTTAGGTTTATGCTTTCTTCCAAGACTCCATTTCCAAAATGAGTATCTTTTCACCAACCACCCCCACCACCCTAGTTTCATGAGAAAGATGAGTAAGTTACAATCCAAAGGCATTTATTCTCTAAAACAGAACAGTGTGTTAACTCGAATCCAATCTCATTGCAGTTAGTTACAAGGTGTTACATCACTCAGGATTTTGTTTCATTAAGGTCTGTGTGTGTGTAAAACCACTTAATGAGTCTGTTTCCAACTTAAAGAAAACAAATTCTATAACATATAACATTTATAGAAAGAGTTAATTCAAAACATATGTATTTGTACAAGTAGTTTGAATAGCTCTTGGCATAAAAAGTCACTTTACGGTTTATTCTCTGTACCAGCCTGCACCCCCCCCTCCCAAAAAAAGGCATTTTTAGATGACAAACCAGTGTTTTAAATTGTTTGTTTTTTTTCCCCCCACACACAAAGATCTCAGTCCTTTCTGGATGAGGTTTGGATAGCACACTGTACTAACAAGATCAAGCCTACAGAATCCATAATGAGTCCAGCTGCCCCCAGCCCCATCCCAGTATTGCTTCATAGTAGTAGATAACTACTCCCACCCACTCCTCAAAAAACCCCCATAAAACTTCAAGATTTACTGTAATCTTTTAAAAAAAAATTCCAAGTAGTGAGCATTACACAGTAAAACAAAAGTACTAGAAAATCTTTTTTCCTAATTTCTTTCATTCTCTCTCTCTCTCACACAAACAAAGCAGCCACATAAAGACTATTTTTAATGGAAGAAAATATTTTGTATATAGCAATGCCCTTGAAGAGTGAGGTATTATTATTTTTCTCCTACAAATGGAACTGGTTTTTACAATTCTATCCCTTTTACATAACAAGCAGCTTTAAAAACATGACTCAAGTTACAACATGTATATGTATCACCTGATGTCATATTTAATTTCATATAAACTGTTAAGGAAAACTTGGCAAATAACTTTAGAAGTCTGCACCATAGATTCTTCCTTCTAGTTTAAGTCTGAACACAATAACCATGCATTTGCTTACCAGACTCATACACTGTGAATACCTCAAAGAAATGCTTCTAAAGCGGAACACGAGTTACAATGACTCTGCTGGCTGAGGTAAGCATTTCCTTTGATTAGCAAGTTGCATAATACACAACATGATGTCCTATAACCTCTCTAGAATTCTCTAGAGACACCAGGTGTCAGTGGCCTGACACTGGTGTTGGGATTGATGCTTTTCTATACAGGTGTATACACGCAGGTGTTTGTGTGCGCGCACACATGCATGCATGCACGTCCAAGAGCTGCCCAATCCTGGGCTTGGTCACTTTTAACTGAAATCCTACACGTGCCCCACTACAACTGTCCAAACATCCTTGCTTGGCATGCCCCCAACTCTACCACCCTCACTCTAAGATGACCTCTCTCTTCTCAATAAAGTAAGCTTCCTCAACTTCCTGCCCAAAATTAGGCCTAAGATGGTAATGGAAAAATAAAGCTGCCTTAAATTCTTTCGTGGCCAACAAGCTAATAAGTTTATAAGTCATCTGTGTAAGTGTGATGTTCATCCCTCCTACCCCACCCAAACGCCTGATGACTTCTTCATCTCTGGTCACTGTGTTGCTACTTCCCTGATCACAGACCCTGCTTTCCATCCCACCATCTCCACCCAAGTTCAGGTTCTTACTACTTCTCACTTTTCTGGAACCCTGTTGCCAGGAAAACCTTTCTAATGGTAACACACAGCTCTGGTCACATCTCTTCATTGTCAGTGAGACTCTGATGGCTACAATTAACCTTGAAGTCCTCAGACACATACCCAAGGCCCTTCCCTCCAAAGGTTTTTGCAGGATTTCCTCTAATTAGCCTTCCTGTGGACCATAAAACCCACACTCTTTCCTAATACTAAATCCTCTGCAGCTCCTCCCCCCGCTCTGCCCCGTGCCTTTGTTCCCTCCCTTAGGTTTCTTTCAACCCTTCAAGATCTTGGCTGCCCCCAAAAGTCCATCTCAAACACTCCCCTCCTAAAGCCTCTCCTAACCCCTCTTCTGCCCAGCCCCCAGCTGTCCAGGAGGGTGTCCTCTACCTTCCAATTCCTCCTGACTCTGGCCCTGGAGCTGATCTTCCTCTGCCTTGAATTACAGGCAGGCTCTCATGCCCCTTTTGGACAAGCCACTGAGACCATGGGACGAAGACTGTGTCATACACATCCTTTCTCCCCTGCAGACCCTGGCACAGTACTCAGTAAACATCTGCCAAAATGACCTGGAACGAGGAGGGAGCTGGGTGGGACAGATGTTCTGTTTGTCTATGTAATTTGCAATACTGTGAGATGCAGCCTGGGTTTCAGCCATCTCAAACATACACTAAGGTGAAGGGAATCCCCCCACCTTACAGGGACACTGGGAGCCCTGAGAAAAAGGAGCCCAGACAAACCATAATAAGAAAAAATTTTTAAAAGGCCTGTCAATAGGTGGAGGAGTGGGGGCAGGTGGGGGAGATGCTCATACAGGAACAATGGGCTGCAAAGCAAATGTCCTCCCACCAAGTGCCTAACTCCAACCAAGACCCTCTGGGCAGAGGATCTGGGCTCCTGCCACAAAATTCCACCCCACCCAGGGCCCTGACATGACCAAACCAGACACAGAGAACTCTCCAGAAGGAAACTTTAAAAGTTAAATTAAAAATCCACAACCATAGCTACCCACCTTGGTTGAAAACCCTACCTTTCCTTCAAAGAGTTTTAAGGCTCTTCGTTTTAGATATGCTAAATGCCTAGTCTTTTGAAAGAACATCTCAGTTCATAAAATATCTGCATAGTGAAGATTTTGTAAAGAAGTAAAGCTTCATTACTCCAAGCCCTCCATAATCAGAGTGAAGAAACGAAGCTATTTCGTTTCTCTTTGTCTCCCTTCCTCTAAGCCAGGATACCAGCATTTGCTCAGATCGCTCCCTAGCAGCAATAATAACTTTAATGAAAAGGCTCCAGGGTCACAAAATGAGGGGTCTGGCTAGGCAATAAGTCCTGGCTTCCTGTCCCTCTAGGAGACAACCATGCTAACACTGAGTGGCTCAGAGAGAGGCGGTGTGTGCTTAGCCCGGCCAGTGGTACACTGGCTGCCTGAAATTAGTTTGGGCCAATTAAGTGACCCTCGAGGGAAAGAAAAAATAAAACCCTCAGTAAATCCAATTTAGGAATCCCAGCTCTCTCTGCTTATTGTTATTGCTCTCTCTAAGTGCCTCCAAATGATCCACATCTAAAATAAACTCACACCCAGAGAGAGTGAAGGCACCAGATGAAGCAGGAAAAGCAGGAGGGCTGAGCCTGATGGTGGCTCTCTCTGAAAACCACTCCATTCTCTGCATGCACGACAGGAAAGGTTTAGAAACACAAGGTGTCCTAGTGTTGCTGCTGCTCCTGGCTGCTGGGCTACACAACTCTTTTCTGCTGTCTCAAGGATGGTCAGGGCCAACAGTCTGGCCACCCCCTGCCCATGACAATGGCATCTCCTAGTCCACACTAAACCCTGTGTTTCTACCCACTCCCTCTGTCCCACTTCCCAAACAGGAAGCTCAACATCAGTCACCTCAGTAAGAGGGACACTCAGTCCTTCTCTGGAGAGGCATGGTTTGGTTTCCCTGTCTCCTCCTACTCTCCCCAGACCTGAGTAGCTGGCAATAAATGTGGCCAGAGAGGCTGCAGCAGTCCCCGTCCCAGGCCCAGGATCTCCTGCCCATTTAGAGGAGAAAGGAGGAAGGCCACAGAGCCACAGCTGCCACAGTACATGTGTGGTATGAGAGGGGTCCAAGTAAGTAAGTCTCTCCCACTCCTCATGACACACCTTTAACATTACAACTCTTACCTCATCGATTAAAGGATGACTTTTGGCTAAGGGATTAAAAGGTATAAACAAAAAAAGTGCTGGTCCTTTCTTCAGTTCATTATTCAGCAGGAGACTCTTGCCTCCATGTGGCTGCAGCCATCGAAAGAGCATCTCCCGGTTTTCTAAGGCCCACTTACAGACGTTTTCAGCTGTGTAGTTCATGACCTCCCTGGGAAAGACCTGTAAAGGACAAATGCACAGAGGATAAAAGAAAGCTGAGTGAGGCAGGGCAGGATCAAAGTGCAATGGCACTGTCCTCAAGAGGCCTGATCAACCCACCACTGCACAGGTGAAGAAAACGAGGCTCAGAGCAGCGACATGACCGGCCACTGCAGCACAGCTAACACCCAGAGCCCCCTTCTCCAGATAGAGCATTTCCTTACAAGTCGTTGAAAAGGCAAAAGTGGCCACGGGGTGACTTTCTTATCATGTAATTCATCTTTTCCCCTTTTGACAGAGTCACTTATCAACAAATAATTGTCCTTGCCTGCTGGTGACAATAACAATCTCTATCACCCTGTTCAAGGACAGCTATTAAACATTATTGGATAAGGGGCCGGCCCGGTGGCGCACTGGATAGTGCGCCGCTTGAGAAGCGCGGCGGCGCTCCCGCCCGAGGGTTCGGATCCCACATACAGACCGGTTCCCGCTCACT